TCATTTCTTCCGCATGCACGCCCCGCACGACCTACACGCGGCCTGCCGCCTGTATGTCCGCATGTCGAGGGGCCCGCACCGAGCGTTGTCCTGAAGCCATAGCGGTGACGCAGCAAGAAACCGCTGGCACCTTTTCTCGATCTCGCCCACCCACCCCACATGCACAAATACCAACTATTAATACCACCACTACTTTAACGACCACCTCCTTCGCCACATCCGCGACCGTAAGACAGACGACCGGAGTGGGCATCCATATCAAGCTTGAGTGGTCTTTTTTTTTGGCTTAGGCGGCACGAACCAGCGCCCATACCATTTCTCGACCTGCAGAACCGCGCAACTTAATCGGTTGATTGTCGGCTCACCGAAGGCAAGGAGACGGGAAACACGGTGGTTAAAGAGAGGGACACGCCAGAGCATTGGCACGTTCGATTTCTACCACAGCAAGCAACACGTGAGCCGCCCCACGGGCACAAACTTCTGGTGGCTGGCCAGACATCTGGACATCTGGGCTCTGTAATCGCAGCACCCACTCAACACGCCTTGTAGATCTATGAGCGGCGGACCTTCTCTCCGACTCCAGCGTGGTTCGATCGATCGAATGGCCTGTTGCCAGTGCCTATCCTGTTAACAGGCGAGCTTGAAGGAAGCAGCGAAGTCAAGCTTGGCGCTTGTGCTAGCCCTTGAGACGTTGTGGCAGGACGGGTATTATCCGCAAGAACGCAATTGCGTTGGCGGGATCAGCGTGAATTGTATTGTGTGTGTGTGTGGGGTGTGTGTCCAACGAGCTACAGTATCCCAGTCGACACATTGGAGCTGAGGCCAACGAAAGCAAGGCGGATACAATGCGTTGCAGGCACGACGTAGAATGCGTTGGTAAATGGGTAAAAGAATGTGGAGCATAATGCACTGCTACGAGTGCTGCCCTGTTACCCCGAACGCCGCTGCGCGAACGCAACCAGCTGCGCGCACCAAACGCACGCACAACTCGCTCGCTCGCGTGCCAACACACGATCGCAAAGAAGCAAGCACCCCCCGTGGGGCTCGAACCCACGACCACTGGCTTAAAAGGCCAGCGCTCTACCGACTGAGCTAGACGGGTGTACCTTCACGACCCTTACAGCAACTTAACAACAACAACGCGCAACACTAACAACGAACAACACCTACACGACACGCTACACGAACCGCACAGAAACCACACGCGCACAGACCGACACGGCAGACCTTCAGACGCACCCTCGCCACCCGCCTTTTCCCTGTCAGGCACTGCCGTCCTCGATACCACATCGCTTCAACCTTTGTCATTTCTTCCGCATGCACGCCCCGCACGACCTACACGCGGCCTGCCGCCTGTATGTCCGCATGTCGAGGGGCCCGCACCGAGCGTTGTCCTGAAGCCATAGCGGTGACGCAGCAAGAAACCGCTGGCACCTTTTCTCGATCTCGCCCACCCACCCCACATGCACAAATACCAACTATTAATACCACCACTACTTTAACGACCACCTCCTTCGCCACATCCGCGACCGTAAGACAGACGACCGGAGTGGGCATCCATATCAAGCTTGAGTGGTCTTTTTTTTTTGGCTTAGGCGGCACGAACCAGCGCCCATACCATTTCTCGACCTGCAGAACCGCGCAACTTAATCGGTTGATTGTCGGCTCACCGAAGGCAAGGAGACGGGAAACACGGTGGTTAAAGAGAGGGACACGCCAGAGCATTGGCACGTTCGATTTCTACCACAGCAAGCAACACGTGAGCCGCCCCACGGGCACAAACTTCTGGTGGCTGGCCAGACATCTGGACATCTGGGCTCTGTAATCGCAGCACCCACTCAACACGCCTTGTAGATCTATGAGCGGCGGACCTTCTCTCCGACTCCAGCGTGGTTCGATCGATCGAATGGCCTGTTGCCAGTGCCTATCCTGTTAACAGGCGAGCTTGAAGGAAGCAGCGAAGTCAAGCTTGGCGCTTGTGCTAACTTCAATGCGGACTAGCGAAAGCACACACGCTTATTAACCGGATGGTTTCTCATAACCAAGCGATAAAGTATCCGTGGTCTTGATGCAACCCATGCTTTGTTACTGTGGTAAGTGAAGGTTTAGGTCTTTGACTCCCATCAAACTCCTCAACTTCTCAAATTGAGTTTGGGGCAGTGCCTTTGTGAGGGCATCCCCAACCATATCATTAGTACTACAGTACGAAACTACTATTCGTCCTTTATCATGTACCTCTCTCGTATATAGCCCTTTAATATCAATGTGCTTTGCTGAAGCATGATTAGCTGGGTCCCTTATTATACTAATTGCTCCTTTGTTATCACACCAGCATACTATCGGTTACTTCTGCTTAAAGTCTAGCTCCGCTTTCTTTTACTCTCTCACTTGCTGCAATTAACTCAGTTTGCGCTGTGTGGAGACTGACTGTATCTTGCCTAGAACTTTTCCAAGTAATACACGCGCCATTATACTGACATACCCAGTAACCGACTTTCTGTTCTCATTTGCATTCGCAAAGCTCGCGTTTTGTGTATAACTCGTATATTACTTCCGTACACTTTCCATCGAATACAAGCCCATACTTCGACGTTCCTTTCAAATATCGTAGTACTCTCTGGGCTGCCCTGGAATGGCTCTTATTATAGCATGCTCACACGAAGAGAATGAGTCAGCTGAACGGGCACACCAAACCATTGTGGGCCATGTCCGATGTGCTCTGGCTGGGTCTGGTATGGCTGCGAAGTGGTGGCCAGAAGCTTTAATGTATATTGTAAAGGGGTTACACGAGAGTTACCCAAAGGGTTACGAAGTGGATACACAATGTCTAACCTAAATTAGTAGGATAATCAGTACATGGCTTCAGAGCCACTGATTATGCATATGACTAGGGTTCACTATGCTAGATAGTGAACCGGATACATTTACACCGTAGGCGGCTTTGCCGCAATAAAGGGAAATACATTCAGTTTGAGATTCACACAGTTAAGAGTTAAGGGTTGACTCTTGGAGTCCGTAAGGTGTACGGACTCACACGTTCTGGTATTAAAACGGGCTATCTTAAGCTGAGACTCTGTTACGTCTTCCTCTGACGCTAAAGCTACGTCAGCCCCGCTGCACTTGGTAGCACTAGTAGTCAATCCGACACCTGAGTCTGTATAGACTGACCCTCTGTGGAGAATGGAGCAGTTCGCTCACTTGCCCCCGAACCAGCAGGATGCGCTTAAAAAGCTTCTGTCCTTGCTGGGCCCGGAGGCCGTGACGCAACTTGCGCAGCAAGGCCCCGACGCGGTGAACGCGCGTCTCGAGGCGTTTTCAAGCTACGAGAATGCTCTGCTAGAGCACCTCCAGCAGAGGATGGCGACGGCCGCGGCGCCCCAAGCGCCCGCTTCGTCATCTGACGCGGGAACAAGACCCAAGCCGCTCATGTTGAGCGTGAAGACCTTTGAACACAAGGAGGGTGAAAGCTTGATGCTTTGGACCCGAGAGGTTGAGATGGCTATGAGCTCAGCTCTACTCCGGACGGAGTCGCAGCGTGTGGCACCAGCTATCTCGAAGCTCGGTGGGTGAGCGAGAGAGTGGGCACTAACGTCTGGGACGTCGGTCGAAGTGGCCTTCCCGACGTGGGACTAGCTGAAACAGCAATTGTCCCGAGTGTTTGCTCCGCCTAACGAGGCGTATCGCGTGCGCTCACGCTTCCTGGTGACCAGGCAGAGCAAGAAGGAGTTGATGGACTATGTCCAAGAGTTGAGAACTCTCATTGTTGGCATGTCTGCGGACCCCCTGCCGGAAGCAGTCACCGTTACGGTGGTCATGGAGGGCCTCCGCACTGGCGTTGCCAGGACGGAGGTGTTCCGAACCCACCCGAGCTCTTTTGAAGAGGCTGTGAGCGTCGCATTGAATGCGGAACACAACTTTAAGTCGTCGAGACTTGGGTGGAATGCGTCTTACGCTAGCGCGCCGAGTGGTCCGGAACCCATGGACCTCAGCTATGCTGAAGACGAAGAAGCCGAGCTTTGTGCTGCTGAGCAGCGTCGCGGTATCCGCAGATACTTCATCTGTGGTGACACCCGTCACCTTCGTGCTGGGTGTCCGCTGCGCCATCAGCGCCAGGCTTGGTCAAGCCGCTCTTCGAGCTCGAGCCAGGGCTCTGGTTTGTCTCGGGGAAACGAGAAGCCCCAGTAGGCGCGGGGCGGCCTACTGGGGAAGAACTAAGTTCTATTGAGCCTCGGCGAGGTGGAGGTCGACAGGACTTAGCCCCGAAGAGAGCCGTACTCTCTAACACGGAACGTGTATGCAAGCCGGGCTTGCTAGTTGTCCAAGATTGGGTGAAGGGCTTCACGAAACCATGGACTTTTGATCGATTCGGGAGCGTCCCGGCGTTCTACGATGGACGGAAGTCAGCTTTATGCTGAGGCGCTGGTAGCGCGCGGGAGTGACAGCGTCACTGTTCGTCTCGCGACGGGCACTCGTGTCACGGTGGCTAAGGTCCCTGTGGACCTGGGCGTGAAGTTTTTGGATTTTGATAGCGTGGAACGCTGTCTGGTCTTAGACCTCGATTCGAGATATGATCTCATGCTTGGTATGGCGTGGCTGGAACGCCACGAGCCTTGGATCGATTGGAGGTCGAAGACCCTTGGTGCTACGCACTTCTCTCCTGGCGGAGCATTGGCGAGTCATGAACCCACCTCTGCTAGTAAGCAGAAGCGCTTCTGGCGCGAGCACTGGACCGAGTCGGTCAATGTGCTGGACATCGGAGTTTCCGAGTTGGTGGACACTGAGTGTGTCGAGAATGAGCGTTCCGAGCGTGGCTCGCGGACGGCAGGTGGAGCGGTACGAATTCCGCTGAGCGGGCGTGCGTCTGAGGGCGACGCCCTGCTGCGTGCCGGCGAAGGCGCGGTCGACAGGAAGTCGAGTGAAGATGGGCGTTGCCCGGATCAAGGATGTGGAGCGGCACTAATTCCGCTGAGCGGGCGTGCGTCTGAGGGCGACGCCCTGCTGCGTGCCAGCGACGGCGTGGCCGGCACGATGCCGAAGAACAAGGGGCTTTGCCCGGATGAAGATCGTGGAGTGGCACGTAATCCACTGAGTGGAGGCTGCGGATCGTGCAGCTCTTCGCCGAGTGTCGGTAAAGACACTGGAGCTCCCCTGGAGCTGAACGAGGTGGTGACACCTGGCGTCAAGACGCACGCGAAATCACGGAGCTCTTCAGGGCTGACGGTGTTCATGAAGAGGAGGCAGCGCCGCAAAGCGCTGGCTGCGAGACGCAAGGCGTCTGCGATCTCACGAGTCGAGAAGGGCGTGTCGAGCGGTGAGGCTCCACGCGAGAGCGAGCAGCTCTATACACTCGTGAATGGAGTGACGGGCGACGTCGACGGAGGTATCAACCTCGACGACTTGCCCTCACGGTCTGCTCTCGTTGAGCTGGACGAGATGTCCTTGGCCGAGTTCGTCGAAGCCTTAAAGACTGGAGACTTGGCTGAGGTAGCGGTCATAAAGATTTGAACTCGTCCTCGCTTCTGGATGAAGCTGTCCTGGAAGACACCAAGAAGGCGCTGAATGCGCGGAGCGGATCGGCGATCCTGAAGGACCCGTCGGATCCCTTGTATCAAGTGGCCTACGCCCGATGGGGCCTGAAGAGCTGCGTCACAAGACGATTAAACGTCGCTGACGCGTTCGAAAGCCCTTGGGGCATCACCAACCACTCCCAGAGTATCCCGCTCGGAGTACTCACCGCAGTGAGAGAAATGTCGCTCGTCCTCATGAGCAATTGGTAATATCCATCGACCAAGTCGGGCGCACTGTACATCGTACATCCTGCCATGTTGTTCTGAAGAACATCCTTCCGAGGAATCGGCGTCTGCGCCGGAATGGTAGCGGCATTCAGCTTGTTGAAAGCATGCACGATACGCCACTTGCCATTCGGCTTTCTGACACAGAATGTCGGCGTAGAGTGTGGAGACTTACTCTCACGCACCATGCCCGCCTCGTGCTTCGCACGGAAGAACGCGTCAATGACGTCACACTGCTCCTTCGGCAAGGGCCACTGCCTCGTCACGCGGCCTGAGGGCCGACCCGGTCAAGGTCAAGGTCATTATTGAC